CGGTAACGGCCGGAGGGGCGGCACGCTAGGCGCGCGAGAGAGAGGGAGGTGATCGGCGAGGGTGGAGGAGGGAAGAGCAGGGAGCAACGGCGGTGTAGCTTGCTCTGCTGGGCCATGGCAGCGAGTGGAGGAAAAGGAGTCAGCGGCCGGCGTGGCTTAAGAAGGCAAGGACGACATTTCAGTGTGCGCCAGCACCTTCTCGAGCTTGTCCACGCGGGCGGCCACGCATCTACACACGAGAAACAATGCGAAAGCAGCCAAATGGCGCACGACGGTGACGCAGCAAGCAGGTAGCCGCCGGCGACACTGTAGCAACTGACAGCGCCACTTCCTTGCTCTTGTTCTCCCAATCCATTCATCCATAGCTTGAGGTCCATTACCAAAAGTTGTAAAACTACGTGAGATCTCCCATAAAGGTTTAAGGATCAAAGACTGAAACTAGATGATTTGAAGGATTTTGAATTTTGAAAACATATACTTGAAACTGAAAAACTGAAGTCAGTTTCAATGTTACAAACAGATTTGATTAACAATTTTGAGCAATTAATTAATGTCTAAACATTGATCAAACCATCCAACCAATAGCATAGTATCAAAGTATAAACATCACACCAATTCATAGAACCAAAGTTGAACAAATTTTATTTATAAAAATTGATTTAATAATTCACCAAAATATGAATTCCATAACTGATATTCAGGGACTTAGTCAAAATGGCTATGTTTGAAAATTAGTATTGAATACAAACTTTGAGCTCAAATTTAAACATGTTTGATTTGGAAACACAAACAAACTTTGATTCTATATCAAAGAACATACTTTGAACTCCAGAGTTTATTTTAACAAAAAAAATTGTTTAAGAAATTTTCATTCCATAAAATCACAAAGAACCTTAACTAATGTTATAAGCAACATTTCATGTAACATATAAACATAGCATTGGCAACACATACATGCTATATTTGAAATATGCAATGCATTTATGGCACAAGGCTTGATGATTATGCATGATGATCAACACGATCAAGGTTTTACTAACTCAGATGAAAGAGACATGATTAACACTACTCATGCCTACTTTGAAAAAGTAAACATGCAAACAAAGTTTAGGTTAGGGCTCATGCTAGAAGAGTTAAACTCCACACCTTGCCACCACTTGACATATCTTATTTAAGTCTAATCTCACTGCTTAGCCTATACTAACACCTGAGGTGTTACACCCAGAGCCGAACTGGCAACTGCCACGGGCCCCAACGTCTACGCTGCGGCCGCGCGCTCTCATAAAAAAATTAACCCGGCAAGCTATGCTCACCGCCGCACCGTCCACGTGGCCTCCCGAACTAAGGGACGGTAGAGCTCCAACTTTAGTTAAAACAGCTTCAGTTATAATTTTACAGTAGAGCGGCTTTACTTGATTTCAGTTTATTTGACAGAGAAACGTTTGGTAAAATAGCTTGTCCGGTATGGAAAAAACGGTATATACCTGTAATACCCTCCTATTTTTATTTTTTATTTTTATTTTACCTTTGTCCTCTTTTTTCCTTTATTTTTTTTATCTTCTCTTATTTCTCTCTCCATTTTATCTCTACCGCACGCACCACTTTCACTTTCACAGGCTTATATGTCCATACGCGGCCGTCCAAGAGCAAGCACGGTCGGCCACCAGAGGAGCCCGAGCATGCGCGTTTGGCCGGAGGAGGCCACTGGTGGAGGAGCGCGAGTAGCTAGGCCCCGTGCCCCTTCCTCCTCGACGTTGTCATGGTCGCGCTCGCGATGTCCGTATTCCTTCTCACCACCGAGCGGGTCTTTCCGGACATACGACCAAAAAAATAATAACTAAAAAGATAAAACTGGCAAAAATTAGAATTGGATGGGGTCTCTTTGGACGTATATGACTAAAAAATAAGTTTTCGTACTATCCAATTATTTGATTAGTTGGACCATTGTTTTTTTCTAAATCTTTAATAAGAATCGGTACGTTATGTTTTTAATCATAACTACATCGATACTAGCCGGTCGTACATTGTTAGGAATCTTTGTTTCTTTTGATTTGACTAGTAAAATTGCCCGTACGTTGCAGCGGGGAGAAAAAACTATCAAATATATTCATTGCAAACAACAACGAGAGAATAGTATATATATATTTATGTTTAACCCCCTTCATACAATTTAAAAGTTTTCTCGTTGCAAAACACAAAAGTATCTAGACATAAATATATAGTAACTTCAATTTTCTAAACAACTAACCCCTGGCTAACTTTAATTATAGGAGTAACAGATAATAATAACATAATATGGGCATGTTTGGCTAGGCTCCGCCTGCGCCGCTCCTTCGCTAAATCCGAAGCCGAAGCTGGAGCGGCAGAGGTGCAAATCACAACTTCGCCTCCTTAGGCAAAAAGGGTTTCGGCTCCTCCTCCCGTCGTCGCGTAGAAACGATCATCCTTCTGTCGCCATTTGGTGCGGTGCTCCTTCACTGAATTCGGAGCCAGAGCCGGAGCGGTAGAGCGGCAAATCATGACTTCACCTACTTAGGCCTCCCGTCGCGCAGAAGCGATCCTCCTTCTGTCGCCATTTGGTGTGGCTCTGCTGCCGCAGAGCAGGAGCCAGAGCGGCACAAGCACGACCTAAATATCTTTATCTATACCTAATATACATGGCGCACGGGTGATGCGGAAGCTCAGGCGTGGTCGGCTCGGCTAGACAAGTGGCGTGGCAGGGCGGTAGCTCGGGCAGGTGTTGCAGGAGGCCGGTGGCTTGATCTAGTGGCACGACAGCGCAGCTCCAGCGTCCGCGTTACCGAGAGGTAGCACCAAGACGGCAGGTTCATATGGTTTGATTTCGTATGTGAGCGTGTCAATTTATTCTTAATTTGCTTCTCTTGTACATGAGTCATCGCTCTTGTCGGTTCACTGTGTATTAGAATGAAAAAAAATTCCCCAAAAAAAGAAAAAATAATAATAAGGAAAACACAAAAGGTGCGTACATGAGCTAAGAGCTCCTGTCGAATATCAGTTCTAGCGGCTAGATCTCCGTCCCTACGGGTGCTTTCCTATTTTATTATTTATTGATTTGCTTTTTCGTCCATTAATTAATGTATATATCCAATTCTTTTCCAACTTTTCATCTTCTATTGTGTCACGTTTGTGTTTGTTTAGTTTGTTTTGGAAACGGACTTCGTATCGTGCTAAACAATAGTTAGTCTAACTTGTATGTGTATGGATTATTATATATAAGTCCGGACGGAAACTCTCCATTGTTCTATAGTTAGGGAGAGGTGGAAAAAAAATGGATGGATGAAAAAAAAATAACTGAAAATTTTGCCTCTTTAGTATTAGGTATAGATATAGATAACAGAAAAAGGAAGTTGTGTGAAGATGACATAACAAAGATCCTACTTTTTGTCAATCAAAAGATAGAAAACAGAAACCTAATTGGTCCAAACGTTTCAGCAGGGTAAAACAAAAATATTGCATTGTAAATTCTGAACAGTGCAATGCAACATAAAAAACAACAAGCATGACATCATCATTGTATTTGATCCATTAATAACTAAAACTAATATGGCAAGGCGCACGGCTGGCGAGTTCCAGAAAAAGAAATCACGGACTGACCTGACCGCCTGGGCTGCGCCTGCGCGTTTGCGTTACAGGAAAAGCAATACAGGGGACGTCAAACTTCATTTTACAGGGGTATTGATCATAACTCCCTTGTGGCGTGTGTATGTCGAATCGGATCAGAGCAGTGCAGTTTGGAGTCAGAGATACATGTATAGGAAACCAACTCGAGTCATTCCGCTGTCCAACTTGAACTCGAGCTACGACGATGATGAACTAAAACCGGACTCCAAAACATAGGGATACCAGACGTACCAAAACTGGACTAACGGACAGAAAATTAGAAATAAACCAGATCGAAATTGGACATACCCAGATTACTCAGGACTTATAGGATCTATTTGATTAGGATTTGAATTCGTATCTATCCACCTTACCTCAAGAAGACCTACGTATGTAAAACAGGAGAGTTGTGGAGAGACGGACATAAATAGTTTTTACATTCACAAAGTTAGTTAGAGGAGGCCATACCAAAATAATGTGTATAAAAAAAAACAGCGGAAATTTTATCTCTTTATTATTATTATTATTATTATTATTATTATTATTATTATTATTATTATTATTATTATTATTATTATTATTATTATTATTATTAGATATAAAGATATATATATATATAGATTAGTGTATTCCAAAACAAGACTACGTACTGTAATTTTTAGCCATGTTGATCAAACACCTTGGCCACACATTGAGCCGACAGGAACAGACTGTACACTAGCTGACCCGTTCCAGGGGTGCCGGCACAGAAGCCAGTACACCATGCCCAAGCCCCGAAAGGGCCAACAGGACGCGGCAGACCAGGACTCGAAAAGCCGCGGGAACCAAGGCCCGAAGACGGGTGGTGGTGCACTGCGCACTGCACTGCACCCCGTGCAAGCGGGCGCGGCGCCCGACAAGACCCGCGCGCGTTCCAACTTCGTTCGCGTGCACTGATTGATCGGCTTCTTTTTTCATCCTCAACAATATTTTTCTCTAATAAATTTCTTCAACATTTCTCCACGCCCTCTAAATTCCTCGCCTCCAACATTTCTCAACGCCATCTGAATTCCTCGCAGCGAACGGGCCCTTCCGCTCGCCCCGTGCCGTGCGCTCTGCCGCAGCCCGCAGCGCGCGCAGACGGCAGGCCTCAGGGCTCAGGGTCGACTGGTCGTCGAGTCGGGCTCGTGTCAAATCAATCACCGCTCGCCTCCGTCCGCGTCAGTCGAAATCGCATCGAACCATCCGTCCTCCCTCCTGCGCCGCTCGTGGCGTGGTTTCGCTGCGCATTCGCGACGTCTCTCTCTTGCAGGTACCGTAGCTGTTACCGGCCGCTGCCCTCTGCGCCTCGCCGTGCCGTGTGTGCACCGGTGGCCGCCACGTGGCGGCGAGGGAGGGAGATGGCGTCGGCGGGCCGCTGGGCGTGGATGGCGGAGGTGGCGGGCGAGGAGCTGGCGAAGCTGGAGGCGGCGCACCCGGGCCGCTTCGGCCCGCTCAAGGCCGAGCTCGAACGCCTCGTCGCCGACCCCGGCTTGGACGAGGCAGCGTTCCCGCTCGTCTCACCGCGCGCCGTCACCGAAGCCGCCGGTACCACTCCGGCCGCCTCTTCGTCCCTGCTTGCTGCTGCTCCTTCGCGCACGGTGCCCGTGTGCACTCAAGGTTCGTCCTCCACGTGCCTCCGCCGCTCTATGCCATGTCACTTCTGTCCCGTCCCGTGCCACGGTGCCAGTGCATGATCCAGCCATCAGCCGTGGCCACTCGGCCGCTCCACTCACCTTGCGACGAACTTCTGCAGAGTCGTCGACCCGGAAGAGAAAGCCGCGCGGCAGCCGGGAGGAGGTGAAGCGGAGACGGCGGCCGAGCGCGCCGCCGGGAGGGACGAAGTACGGGGCCAACAGCGGAGGCTGTATCGTATCGCGGATTATTTACTGCTGACTGATTTAGTGTGAGAGAAAAACACTGTTTCTGTCTGGAAATTTACTATCATTTACGAGAACAGGCTTCAACTTGGCCATCGAGCGCGCCCAGCGGTGCCTAGAGAGGATCCGCGCCGTCAAGCAGAGCTTGCTTGCCGCTTGGATTCACTGACGGGATGCAGGGGTGGATGTGGATGGAGAAACGAGAGCAGGAACAAGGAAAAACTCGGGCCATGGAAAGGGAAACCCCCCCAAAAAAATATCGAGAGCCTCTTTTTTGGTTATTGGAAAGTGAGAATGGTATTGTTCATGGGGGAAAAGTTGGTTCTCCAAGATTACAGAGCCCTGTGTACTAAGTAGAACTGCCCTTGTACGCCATGTCGCGGATTAAGCTGAACTGCGCAAATAGTAAAGCGGGCTAATATGCCTCGCTCAATCGAACTGTACCGCTTACATCTCGTTGATCAACCGATTCATCAAGCCGATTGATTTTCCATGCGCATTGAGAAGAATTGTGATACCGATTGGTGATTGGTTCAAATCATTTCCGCCGATACCATCTAATGCCCTGTTCACCTAGAACTGTTTATTATTTTTTTCTCACAACAAAACAACATCAACTGACTTATCAGCCACAGAAACTATCAGCCAAACAAGAGATAAGATGTTCGGCACAGAGGTCTTCCCGCTGCAGGGAAGCCGTAGGATCAACATGTACACGGCTGGCCGGCAAATTTTCAAAGAGTTATGCCAAAAGTAAAACTTGGAAATTTAAGCCTATTCCAGGTCCTAGCCGCACCGAATTCATAGTATTACCTGGTCACAATATATAGCAAGTAAGATATGATGCTCATATTGATGCAACAAACGTCGTTCCTTAATTGACCAAGCGAGAGCTAAGCGAGTTACACGACTCGAGATCCTGTTTTGCTGTGACCCTAACCCTCACCGGATCTAGATCACATTCATTTATCTTGGTCAAGCTTTTAGCTCTTTCCTCCCCTATTTTTTCATGATTTAAGCAATTAACTCGTATAGCTTCAAGTAATGATAATTTTCACGTACTCAACTTCTACCGTTCTAAGCATGCTAAACATGAATAATGCACTATGCAAGTAAACAAGCAACACTTCAAGCTTTATATGAATGAAGAAGGAATGAAAGTTAAACAGGTTGCATCTAAGTCATCGCATACATACATAACATGCAAGTACATAGCACATATTCAAGTTATGCTTGGAGAAAAGAGACAAGGATGCTTAGGTTCGTACCTTATGGTTAAGTGGGGGGATCGGGGAGTTCAGGTTCAGCCACAAACTCGCCTTCCTGCTTAACGAGTGCCTCCTAGGCTGCCTCCACTACTACAGAATGGACCTGTTGTCCCGGGCGGTAACAGCCTTTAGTCCCGGTTACCGCGCCGGGACAACGATCCCGGGACTAAAGGTGGAACCTTCAGTCCCGGGTCATCGAGCCGGGATTAAAGAGGGACCTTTAGTCCCGGTTGGTAACACCAACCGGGACTAAAAAGGGCCCTCCACCGAGCGAACCAAGCGCACCCTTTAGTCCCGGTTGGGGTTACCAACCGGGACTAATGAGTTCACCTTTTTAGTCCCGGTTGGTAACCCCAACCGGGACTAACGGTTCATTTTTTCTTTTTTTTTTTTTTTTAATTTGTTTTCAGTTCGAGTTACAATGTATTTGTTTAATATATAATATGTTTTTATGTACGTATTCTACGTTGCTAATATAAATACACGCATGCATATAATTACATCTAATTCTCATCTTGAGCATTATTATATTCGAATAAAGTATGAAACTATATATATTATAGATATATATATATATATATGTGTGTATATACAACACTTTCATAATCTTGTTCTCGAAAATAACGATATCAATAAACATTTAATTTACATCATTTATTCCTTAAGATCAAAGTAGAACTCGCCGTTGGGATTTAGCACTTTTTCTAGAAGATATCCTGCTATTGACTCTTGAACTGCTTTCAGATGGTCTTTTTGCATGACCCTTCGTTTCAACCATTCAGTCTTGCATTTGAAATAAAAGGAAAAGTATTAATACACATATATGTATATATATTCTTTTAAAAATAAATAAATATTGATATATACGTACTCTGAGGACATCTTCAGGAGTTCTTCTTATGTGCGCAGTGATAAATTCACAAACGTAGTATCCACACAAGTTATTACCTGGTTCCTGCCGCAAACACCACTGTACGAGAAGAAGATTATTCTCATCATCTCACACGTAAATTGAAGTACGATATAGTAATTAAACACGTGGGGAAGTGTATATAGTACAACTTACTGGTATTTCAACTACATTAAGTGGTGCCTTGCAATCCTTGCGATGTTGCCGAATAAACTCTTTCCAAACCCTGTGCGACCAATAATGTACGATCGTTAATAAATTATGGCAAAGTCTATTCAATAATAGTTGTGCGCGAGAGATCGAAATTACCCCTGGATAATATCTATCATATCTTGGTATAGTGCCCGTTCTTTTCTCAACGAGTCAAAGATTAGTAACCGACTTGAGTTTAACTCAATGACAATGAGTATCCAGTGAAAACTGCATTGGTTTATACACACACGTACATGCATATAAGTTGTATTGATATTACATAAAATGTGTAGACTACATTATTATTAACACTTACTCAAAGTTGTACGGGAAAAGTATTGTTGTCTTGTCGTGCTGCTTCACGAAGAACTTCATGATATTCCTCTCATGCTTCGGATACCCGTGGTCCTTGACAATAATATCGGTTTTGAATACGATATAAGGATCAATGAAGCCAACACTTTGGTGTCTTGTATTCTTTGGAGCTCGACATCCGGAATCTATATATAAATATAAGTTACATGTGAGGATAATTATATACACGTGCATGGAAGTGAGTTTATTAAATAAAAGTAAGAATCACTTACAAACAAAAGGAGCTCATGATTGATTTGTCCAGGCGTCCCAAGTGGAATAGTTGATGCAATTCTTCAAACTAATATGTAAGATGTCATCGCCACGGAAGTAATGATGGTCTCTAAATCGACAAAGATCCACTTTGCTCACCCCCCTGCGCTTTGCATGTACCACTTGTTGAGCAAGTACATTTATGTACCCAATTCATTGAGAGCCGCGGGGTGTACGGACTTTTGCCATATTTATAAGTCTTCCGGTATCAACTTACGTGTTCGGATTGGAGCTTTGCCCGTCAATTGATCCAAGGTTAAACCAAAGATATCTTTAAAAAAGCATTAAGGGCTTGAACCGACACTTCTCGAGTTGTCTCGTCGATAGACTTCTATGTTGGAACCATATTCATTAGCAACAACAAGATTTTGCATTGGTTGCTTCATTGTCCGAGCCAGGGACATCCTTCCCGATGCTCTTTTCCTTTTTATCTCGCATCATGTGACTTCACGAGGGAGCGGTCATAGTCCGATAGTGGCGAAGGCTTACGAAGTTCAATCATCTTTTTCTTGTGAGCATCGACCTTCCGCCTCAAAGACATCTCGTGGTATGTAAAAGTACGGCTTCTCCTTAAGCTTTGCTTGACTCTTGTTTTTGATATCTATAAAAAAATCTTTTACTTTTTTGTCTTCTTCACCGCTATTTGCTCATCAGGTCTTTTCGTGAAGTATTTCTTGAGAAATAACTCTTTTTCTTGGGGTCTTCTTTGCCACGGGACCTTAGACGTCTTTGTAGTGCGTCATGTGTGGAGGGTGGGGGGGTGTTGGAGATCGGCGTGGAGGCGATGAGGCCGGTGTTGGTGGAGACCGGCGTGGAGACGTTGGAGATCGTTAGGAGGCGGTGGGGCCGGTGTAGGAGTTGGAGATCGTTGTGGAGGCGATGGGGCGGTGTAGGAGTTGGAGATCGTTGTGGAGGCGATGGGGCGGTGTAGGAGTTGGCGATCGCCGTGGGGATGAAGTCGTCTCGCCCCATGCGACGTTGTGATGAGATGGGGAATGAATGATTAGGCTAGGTGGCGAGAGACCCTGCTATAAAAAACAATTTGTGTGTCAATTATTTTTGAAGCCAATAGAAAATTAATGGAAAATAATATTTCATTCACTTTCATTCGTACCTAGGGTGAGGTAGGGAAGCGGTGGCGCCCGGAATGATGATGATGAAGCGCGTTGCGCCATTGAATAAATGTCTTCTCTGCTTCTCCTAGTGTCTTCTCCCCATCACCACCTTCAATGTCAAGAGGAACATTGTGTAACCTTTGAGCACTCTATCGACCGAGACGCTAGCATATCCAGGTTGAATAATCGATCCATGGATTCTTGGTGTCTTCGTTCGGTCTATTGGAGATACAACCCGACAGACCACCATGATTGATGCATTACCATCCGGAATGTGCAGCTCACATTTTGTTAGAGGCTCGGTAATGTCATCAACGAGGAAGCGCAACCAAATATTGTCTTGAATAACTGGCAGCTCAGTAGAAGCACAACCGCTTTTCATCGACCAACGGGCTAATGGTGACTCCGGCGTTGATTGCGATTGCATTTGACTCATTGCTAGCTGCACTTGCCTCTTGATCTCCTCCTGCATTCTTGCCTCAAGAGATTTTTTCTCGTTCACGTGATTCAAGCAATGCTTGTCGTGACTCATCAACAAATTGCTCCAATGCACGAATTAGCTCGCCTCCTCATCCTTCTTTCTCTCGGCGGCTTCAGAGGTATCCTTGTCTGCTGGGAATGCGTGTAGCCACGGAACCGCCCCATAGCCTCTTGTTCGACCACCGTGTTCGGGATTCTCTAGGGCATATGTCAATTCATCCTTCT